GTAAATCTCTCTCAAACTTATTATTTTCTCAATAATGTTCAAATTACATTAGCATTTCATTTTCTTTTCCTGTAAGCTGTCTTTGTTAAAAAAGAAAAAATGCCTCTCTAACAACTACTCTGTCTATTGACACTTCAACTATAGATTCCTCCTACCTTTTATTAACAAAAAAATGCCACCTTTCTTTTTTTTTTTGTTCCTATAACATATCCTTTAAAGTTTTGATTTTTAGTTCTTTTGGGTTATTCTATATAGATTTGTTTTACTCACAGATTTAGAGAGGCGGTAGAATATGAGGAATTTGAGATTAGGTTTTATTTGGCTTCTTTATTTTACTTTCCTTTTGGGAATTGAAGCCCTCAAATTTCATAGAACCGAGCATACTGAGAGAATCTCAGGTAACTATCACTCTGTTGCTGATCAATGAAATTACATTCACTTTTTAAAGTCTGTTTCATTATTTTTGTGTTAATTTTTGTGGGTTTGTTGGGAAATGCATATAGTAATATTTATCCTTGTTACCAAAACGCTAACTGTCAGATGACAAGCTAGGGTTTTGTTCTCAGCTGACATAAGACTATTTAGATCCAGAAAATCTTTAGCTTTAAATAAATAGATGGGTCAAAATTCAATGAGGCTTGGTTAATATTGATTAAAAATCAGCTAAAAATCCAAGCTTGCCTTAGAACTAAGCTGAGTTCAAATAGTGAAGTATTCTTCTTGAAAGTTCTTTAGTCAATCTAAGTTAATAGGATGTTAAAATTAAGTTGTAATATTTTTACTTGGTGAGTTTTTTTTTTTTCCATTTTCTTTTACACTTAAATCTTAGAGTTCTGAAGAGGCACAAAAAACGGCCTATAAGATCTATTGTTAATCTGGAGTTCAAAAAATGTTGATTTTTTAGTCACACTTTAGTATAAATCTTGGGTCTCAAATGACCTTCAGTTAAGGAACTCATCATGTTTTAGTGTTTGTATTGGACTTGAATCAAAGTTTAGAATTTGAGTCAACTTCATGTTTGTAGATAATTGACTCAATTCAATATGAGACATCTAGATATTCAGCTTGATAAACTCATTTACAACCCTTGGTATCAATTCAACTTATATTGGTTTGGGGTGATGGATTAGAAATAGGCAATCATTCTTCATTAAACAAAAAGAAGAAAAGAAATAGGTGATCTTTCCCCTCCTTTCAACTGTTTTCAAAATTTTAAAGGATTTATTACCTTACTATGGTAGCGTGTAGTACAACTAAAGAGAGCGAGGAAGAGTACTGAGTAGACAATTTGGTTCAAGAGGCGTAAGTTATTTGACTGGTATTGGGGATGGTGGTCTTCTGTTAGAAGGTTTTAAATCTTAAATCTAAAGTCTAGACCTTGATTTAAGAAGTGATGGATTTTGCCTCTTTTTTTGGTAAGGAAAGCATGAAATAGATGTTGCTTCCCAGGATTTTGCCTCTAAAGAGAGAGGGTCTTTAAGCTATGTATGTCATCTGATATCTAAGTTGCTGCACAACTATTTGTGCTTTAGATTTTAAGAATTGGAAGAGTTAGTTTGGTTCTAGCTATTTGTGTTTCTCACAGCTTTGCATTGATACAGGGCGCTGGAGAGTTTGTGTTTCAGTGTTCTCTTATTTAATAAAGTTAATCATGTGTTCTTTTAGAAAGTGAAAACACTTGATCTTCCCTTTTGTGTATTTTCTGGTTTGATGACTAAAGAAAATTTTCTTCACTCTAAAAGGAAAAAGAGAAGGTTGGAAACTTTATGTTGATATTTCTGTTTATAGTTTTTTTCCCTCAAGTCATACCATTAACAGAGTTAGTTCATATTTTGCTGAATTGTTTTTAGATATAATGAATTCACAATTTTGCTTAAAAGGATCTGATTTCAGTAAAACTTAGTTTGATGCTTTTAGACTGCCAAAAGTTTCCGAGGGGTTTAATTCCAAGAATCCCATTAGGACATTGGTTCATGTGTGTATATTTACTCTGGAGTTCAGCGATTTGGCCGTGGATGAATGATAGATAATATGTTGGTGAATCATTTCAATGTTACAAGTGCTACCTAAGTGACATCTTGTGACTGTAAAACAACACCTTTTTACCCACCTGAAAAATTCACCTGTGATATGAAATATATTGCAAAAATTAAATATAATTAGATTCTTCTAAGCCTTCTAAGATGCTAAAAAGTTTAGACTAAAGGCTTATAGAGTATGATTTCCCTATCTGTCACTTTGCATGTCTGACTACATGATTTAGTCTTTTAGTTTGTTAAATTAGGTTAGCCGATAAGGACATGAATACTTGCTTTGAACTCTCTGAAGTCATCAACTTTTTCCTTTCATTTCTGCAATTCAGGTAGTGCTGGTGATGTCTTGGAAGATGATCCAGTTGGGAGGTTAAAAGTTTTTGTATATGAGCTTCCAAGCAAATACAACAAGAAAATTCTTCAGAAAGACCCACGATGTCTCAGCCACATGTTTGCTGCGGAGATCTATATGCATCGTTTCCTCTTATCTAGCCCTGTCCGAACCCTTAATCCTGAGGAAGCTGATTGGTTCTACACCCCTGTTTATACCACTTGTGACCTGACACCAAATGGCCTTCCTTTACCCTTCAAGTCGCCACGAATGATGAGGAGCGCAATACAACTTATTGCTTCTAACTGGCCTTATTGGAATAGGACTGAGGGTGCTGATCACTTCTTCATTGTCCCACACGATTTTGCCGCTTGTTTTCATTATCAAGTGAGAATTAAGTCCTCTCTCTGTCTCTCTCTCTCTCTGCACACACAAAGCACACAAATTGATGGATACATCAAATTTATATTTAACTAAACTGGATTTCACTAAAATGGTCGTGGAAATCCCAAGGGATTACTCACAGTGCCTTATTATAGATTTCTATCTTTACTTTTGACTGAGAGTGTGTGGTTGCATCTGATTATTTCGTGCAAATTGTAGGAGGAAAAAGCTATCGGGAGGGGAATTCTTCCATTGCTCCAGCGTGCAACTCTGGTTCAAACTTTTGGACAAAGAAATCATGTGTGTTTAAAGGATGGTTCAATTACAATTCCTCCCTATGCTCCTCCGCAGAAAATGCAGTCCCACTTCATCCCTCCAGATATTCCACGATCCATCTTTGTTTACTTTCGTGGATTGTTCTATGATGTAGGAAATGATCCAGAAGGTGGTTACTATGCAAGGTATCCCCATGTCTCAATCTCTATGATTAAATCACATTTGATTCTGAATGCTGGAACTTAAATAGATTGTATACAACTAACTTCCCGAAGAAGTCACGAATGTTGATCACCAAGTTAATTAATATGTTTAAGTGATCCTGTAGAATTATCAAGATGATAAGATCATGGTGTTTCTTTTCTGAAAGATGGTTAAAACGTTTACTTAGATAACATCACAAGGGAAGCTGCAAAATCGTAATACGCGTGAAAAAAACATTTTGATTTTCTTCATTGACCTCCCAAACATGGGGAGCCTTGGCGTAACTGGTAAAGTCGCTGACCAGGAGGTCACGAGTTCGAGCCGTGGAAACAGCCTCTTGTAGAAATGCAGGGTAAGACTGCGTACAATAGACCCTTGTGGTCCAGCCCTTCCCCGGACCCCGCGCATAGCTTAAGCTTAGTGCACCGGACTGCCATTTACCTCCCAGACATGTAAATATGTTTTATGACAAGGCACCTGACTCTTATTTCTCTTCTCAGAGGTGCACGGGCAGCAGTATGGGAGAACTTTAAAGACAATCCTCTCTTTGACATTTCTACGGAACATCCAACTACCTACTACGAAGACATGCAGCGAGCCATCTTTTGCTTGTGTCCACTTGGGTGGGCTCCGTGGAGTCCAAGATTGGTTGAAGCAGTTATATTCGGTTGCATCCCTGTTATTATTGCAGATGACATTGTCTTGCCATTTGCTGATGCAATCCCCTGGGAAGAGATTGGTGTTTTTGTAGACGAGAAGGACGTCCCAAATTTGGATACTATTCTCACTTCTATTCCACCAGAGGAAATATTGAGGAAGCAGAGATTGCTTGCTAACCCTTCAATGAAGCAGGCTATGTTATTTCCACAACCTGCTCAACCAGGTGATGCTTTCCATCAAATATTGAATGGACTTGCTCGTAAACTGCCACACGATAGGAGCGTTTACTTGAGTCCTGGGGAGAAGATCTTAAACTGGACTGCTGGTCCAGTTGGCGACCTAAAACCTTGGTAAGAAGCTGGTACTGGAGATTATTGCATTCACTAAATCTTGGCTTTCAACCTTAAAAGTCGCGTCAAAGGTGTGGAATTAATGTGAACTGTATATCTTAAGTATGTAGTTTTTCGATCAAGTGAAGAATCTTTTATTGATAACAACATCCAGAGGATGCAACATCTTACCCTTCCGGGGTAGGGGTAAGACTGCGCACATCTTATCCTCCCCAGATCCTACTTGTAGGAAACTACTGGGTGGGTTTGTTGTTGTTGTTGTTGTTGTAACATCCAGAGGATGTAACATGTTACAAAATCTTAAGCTGTAGGGTTTGTTGTAGTTCTGGACGACTGGGGACGATTGCACATTCATTTTTGTAGCTGTAGGATTTGTTGTATAAACAGCTATGTTGGTTCCCCAGTGTACTCCTGTGCCACTAACATTGTGTTAGAAAATTAACAAACCAGATTAATTTGATAACTAATAGTGCTAATTAATTTTAACCATAGTCAAGTATTCTTTCTCTTCCGTCATCTCTTTTCCTATCTCCCAATTTGTCGAAAAATTGGAAGACGAGTAACACTAATCCAGTTTGAATCACTGACTGAAAGCTCTTTCATCTATAATCTATACATCAACAATTTGCAATTTATTAAATGGAATTCCTACTGCATTCTTACAACAAGAAATGATAATTGTCATCTACAGATAGCTTAAGATCAAAAGTAAAACATAGCGGTAAAACTAGTAAAGAAATTAATGTAATATATAATAAGATATCACTCGTGGAGGATAAGAGATCCCTTTATTTCTTTCCTCCTCATTTTGAGTAGCAAAATTTAAAGGATTTATTGGATCGTCAAAGCTAGAAGCAGGAGCAGCAGGTTGGAACTCATAATGAAACTCTTTTTACATCCCAAACCTGTGGTTTTCGGAAAATCACCTTACGTTGGTTCACTAAACAAACAAATATATAACTGTCGAGGCGGATCTAAGATCTTTAGTCATTGAGCATGGAGTGTCACTCAAAAAATTATCAACCTCTCAATGAACCTTATTTAATATGGAAAGCTTAGATGCTATGAAATATTCAGAAAATCTGAGGATACATTAATTCGTTTCAACATAACTAATAAAGAATACCGGTTCTTTGACATCTTCCAGCTCAAACTGAACTACTGATTCCTGGCTATAGGCCCGTCTCGGCCTTTCTTGAAATCATCTCACCCTATAACCCAAGGCTGTCCTGCAGCTGCACAAGTCTCTGGAGCAGCATGTTTGCCAAGGTTGTTCATAACCTTTTCTCGCACAGCAGAGAACACCTAGAACAACAACAACAGCAACAACAACAAAAAACCCAGTAAATTTTCACCAGTGGGGTCTGAGAGGGTAATGTGTACGCAGACCTTACCCCTACCCAAAGAGGGCAGAGAGACTGTTTCCGATAGACCCTCGGCTAGAGATCAGATGAAAAGAAACATATGCTAGAACACCTAGAACAAGTAAACTTATTAACTTAAGCACAGTCAATAAAGAACAAAAAGGAAAAAGAAAACGCTTGGACAAGCTTGAAATTCTGTTAGGTTCTCACAGAATTTGTGCTACATCTGGTGGTTGCTCCTGGCCAGTCAGCCACTTCCACAAATCAGGATTCTCCTTAAGCCATGAATCAAACAAACTTAATAAAACCAGCTCATATTCATGTAGGAGAAGTAGCTTCGCTAAATGCTAGTTCTGTTATCCTGCTCTATAACAACAACATGCCCAATGAATTCTCACAAGTGGGGTCTGGGGAGGGTAAGATGTACGCAGCCTTACCCCTACCCTGGAAGGGCAGAGAAACTGTTTCCGATAGATCCTCGGCTGTTATCCTGCTATCAAAAGCAAATATCTTTACTGTCGAGCAAAGTGTTTGAGGAAATTTTTCTCCGGAGCGCCATCATCGATACAATTACAAGGATTGTTAGAGAAACATAGCAAAACTGACACCTGGACAGAAAGCCACATTCAACCCATAGATCTTCACACTCTTCCTAATGGTTTGTATTTAAGCAATACAAGCAGCCATTAGCAACTCAACTTACCCCTAAGATTTCTCAAACTCCCCACCCCTCCCCTATGTCCCCTCAACTCCAGTGCCTACAAGCACATTTCACTGTTTGGTAACTATCTTTTTCTTTCTTTTTTATGGAAAAGTAAGGTTTATTAATGAGTATCAAGAAGGTAATAAAAAAGTACAATAGAGTCTTACTCCAACCGATTTTAGGAATACAAAAGATTCACCAGTAGGCTATATCGATTACAATATTCTTCTTACGCCAAAAGAAAAGGCAGTGTTTGGTAACTATGCTAATGGGTAACAATAAACAAAGAGTGACTTGGTCCCCTCCAAATAGATTTAGTTTAAAGTCTGACCTCTTAAGTCTACCTGATACAAACATAACTCTTGCATGCTTCCATCTGGGAACATATTTATATAATGTTTCACTTCTCTTGTTTGAAGGAGAGAAGAAAAAGGGAAGAGGCAAATAGTCATAAAGAATACTTTCTTCCGTAAGTAATCTATATAGGCCATAAAGTGTTTGTACTTCGAATAGTGAAAATACTTCTGGCAAAGCTCCAATATTCCTTAAGTTTTCTTGACATTTGCAATTAGAGTGAGCAACATAGAGATGGTATACTTCAAGGCCATGACTAACCTTTAGGTGTTATGCTAATGAGAAGATACAGAAGAAATTACAAGTATAGTCTCCAACAAGCCAGTGTTATCAAAGGCAAAAAGCGCAAAAAAACTTTACGGCCTGTTGGGGCTTTAAGCGCAAAACGCAAATAAAGTGTGCGCTTTAATGAAGAAAGGCGCAAATGGATAAAAACTACAGATAAGTATGTATAGTCCAAGACTAATATCTATAAGCATAAATACCAAATATACAGACAAAGAAATTGAAGAAAATTTATGATTAAGTGAAATATCAATTGTTTAGTATTGCCTCTTCAGGATTACTCTCATTGGAAAAAAAAAGTATGTCTTAGAGCCTTGATGACAACACTAAAGCGCCCGCTAAGCGAGGCGAAGCACTCAGCATGTTTTGAGGCTCGCTTGAGGGCTTAAGCGTGCTTTAAGCGCGCCTTTGATAGTACTGCAACAAGCCCATGTCATGACAAGCCTCTAGTCCATTTTCCCATCAGCCTATGTCAGGAAGTCGACCTACTTTCTTATGCATACCTCATTCACCTTAAATATCCGTCAAGCAACCATTACAGATTAGATGAACAAAACTAACCGAGAACCTTGATTTACTCCTTGGCAGAGAAAAGGGTAAAGAAAGGACCAGCTGTGTTTGGTAATGACTGGAAGTGTTCTCTTGAAAAATGTGTTATGTTACCTTGAAATGTGGAAAATGTTTTTTGCAGGGACATAATTTCCAAAAGAAAAATAATTCCCACTAAAGGGGGGAAAACAACTTCCCTTTTATGGCGGAAGTCATTCTCCTATAATCACTTGTTTCAATCAATATGACATGATTTTCAATCTTTAATACTCAAAAATCACTTAAACACAAACCCCTTAAACACACAAGGAACATCACGCACTTTATGCACAATCAAATACAGTGAAATGTTTTCCACCAACCAAACGCATTACCTAGTGTTAGTTTTGTGTTTTCGTTGGGTTTTCTGATTGGTTTGCTTGTCATTGCCCCTTTCCTTTATCTTTCCTGAGGCGAGGGTCTACCCGAAACAACCTCTCTGCCTTCTTAAAGTAGGGGTAAGGTTTGCGTACACACTACCCTACCCAGACCCCACTTGTGGTGATACACTGGGTTTGATGTTGTTGTTGTTGTTACCGCACTAAACAAAACACGACAAAGGAAAACAAATCAATTACCAGGTCAAGAATATCAACAAGGGACTTAATTCCATATTCATCCATGGACTGAATATGATCCTCCACCCATTTTCCTAGAACAAGGTCCAGCTCCAAGAACCCTCTTTGTTTGCTCCGGTAACGAAGTCTATAATCATACCAAATATATACACCCCATTAATATCTGATAAACCGACTAAAGGAGCAAGAACCCACCACACAATTTTACTAACCTGTTAAACAACCGTCTTTTGCTCTCTTCACTGGAGAGATCAAAATCAATCGGCTGAAAATTCTCGTTGGAAGTAAAGAAACACGAAAATGTGCCAGCTAAAGGCCTAAAAGATAAAATAGAAAGCAAGTATGAACTCTATAATCAGAAAACGGCCTAAAGTATGAACTATATAATCAGCAAAAGGCTTAAAGCATCAGATTGAAAACAAGTACAAATGATAGAAAAAGCCTAAAAAATAAAAACAAAAGCAAGTATGATCAATCAGTCTACTAGCTTCAATCTCGAATTAGTAGAGATCAAGCTTTATAATTCTTTTTCTCCATTATAACTCGTTATAATTGTGAAGGGGAGCCTTGGCGTAACTGGTAAAGTTGCTGTCACGGATTCAAGCCGTGGAAATAGCCTCTTGTAGAAATGCAGGATAAGGCTGCGTATAATAGGCCCTTATTGTCCGGGGCTCGCGCATAACGGGAGCTTAGTGCACCGGGTTACCCTTAACTCGTTATAATTGTGTGCTTAGGTGACGGGTACCAAGAATTCAGTATTTTCGAGGTTTATCAAATTTGAACCCACTTTTGTTTATTTAATTATGTCTTCAACACGCCCCTTCAATGTGCTGAGTCTGATTCTTTTTCATAGCTCAAATATATGGTAATTTCTTTCAAATGCAGGACTTGTGATATCATATAAGTAGGATAACTAGCGAATACCTAATTATATCTTCAACGCTACAAAATTAGAATAGTACAAAGAGAGCAACAAAAAAATAAATATAAATGAACGAGTAAAGTGAGATATTAACCGGTAAAGACTAAGAGAGGGGAGTGCGGAGTTTGCAACAGAACTCCTCTGAGAAGTATTATGGATTCGAGGAATTGTGAAGAGGAGAGCCCTTCTTAGATTGGCCATTTTCTTCCACTGCAAGAAATGAGTTAGAAAGGTAGCAAAGTACAAATTAAAGCTCAGTAGAGTAGAAGATGGAGGTTTTGGGTGTTAAATTGCAGGCTGGTTTTGCACTCTTGCTAAACCAAATTTCCCAATTGGTAAAAAGTCAGAAATAACCTCATTCACAACTGCTAATTAAAAATAGTCATAGTTTTAAAAGTAATAGAACAAAATTTGAACAAAAATTTTAGCCATTTTTTTAATGTAAAAATAAATCTGAACAAATATACCCTTAAAAATCCGAAAAAGTTCCAGCATAATATGTTGGAGTTCGAATTTTTTACTTATGAGTATGCTGGAATTTCATAATTACAATATGCTAGAAGTTTATATGCAGGAGCTCCATAATCCAACATATTATGCTGGAACTTTTCGTGTTTCAGCTAGTATATTTTTGTCCATATTCTATTCTCCACATAAAATAGTGATTATTTTTTAATTACTAGGGCCAACTTGTCATATTCTTATTTGGCTTTAAACAAGATTCTTTGATTCTAGTATTAATAAAATTTTCAATTAGAACTATTTCCTTGTTGAATATGTTAGTTTGTTAGTTAAATAGTTATATGTAAATAACCTTAATCCCATATCTAGTAGGAGTAAAACAACAACAACAACAACAACAACAATCCAGTAAAATCCCACTAATGGGGTTTGGAGAGAGTAGTGTGTACGCAGACCTTACCCCTACCCCGAAGGAGTAGAGAGGTTGTTTCCGAAAAATCCTCGGCTAAAAAAAAAAAAGACAAAATGACAAAAGGAGACTGTAGTAAGAGTAAAACATGTATTATATATATATGACTCATTGAATTATTGTCAATACATCAATAATATAATTTTCGAAGTTATTAATTCTCACATGGTATAAGAGCATCGGTGAGAAACTCCATAAAGGTCGGACAGTCACTGTGCATCAATTTTTGGCGACTTTTTCCAGATCTGATTGCGTCACCTCCCTATTGGTGAGTGTTGTGCTAAAACCAACACCACCAACATACTCGGAAGGCTCCGGCAACCAAACCCTAGGAAACCAACTCGGAAGAAACCCTAACATGCGCCGTCACGCGCGCGTTGAATATCTGATGCCGGCGACATGTCTATCACATGCGCCGGCGCGTGGACTGTGTTCCGGTTAGTTTTTTACGAATTTTCTTTTGGACAGTGTGTTCGACTATCAATTCCGAGCCTACCCATTATATTTTATTTTTATTTTGATCAATTTCAATTTTTTCCGGCAGCTACATTGATTTTTCCCGGCAGAAGCTGTGATTTTCCGGCAAAAACAGTGTTTTCTTCCTTGTTTCAGCAAAATACAGTTGATTATTTTTATTACTTTTTTCTAGACTTCTCTCCAGTCCAACGATGTCTTTGAAAATTGATGTATTTGGTTCTAAAAGCACGGGTTCTGCAAATTCAAGTTTCATGATTACTTCGGGCCCCTTAATGGAAAGTTGAAACTACTTAGCTTAGGCTTTTTCTGTTGAGTTGTGGTGCAAGGTTCAAGGTGTTCAAGACCACTTAACCAAAAAGGCTAGTGAGGGAGATGAAAAGGACAAAGTACCGTGGGAAAAGATCGATGCTCAGTTATACAGTATCTTGTGGCGATCTATTGATTCCAAATTGATGCCTTTGTTTCGCCCATTCCAGGCATGTTATTTAGTTTGGGAAAAGAACTTTATACACTAATGACATATCTCGTTTCTATGATGTGATGTCGCGAATGACAAGCTTGAAGAAACATGAATCAGATATGTCTACTTACTTGGGACAAGTACATGCACTCATGGAAGAATTTGAGAAGTTGATGCCAATTTCTGCTAGCATTGAAAAGAAACAAGAGCAACTATAGAAGATGTTTCTAGTTCTTACACTCGTCGGACTTCCTAGTGACCTTGATTCAGTACGTGACCGGATTTTGGCTAGTCCGACTGTCCCTACAGTTGATGAATTATTCTCTCGATTATTTCGCCTTGTTGCAGCACCAAGTCACCCAGCGATCTCATCACAGACACTTGACTCCTCTGTTCTCGCATCACGAACAGTGGAAAATTGGGCATCTCAAACTATAGAGAATAGATGAGGAGGAGGTCATTTTGGGAGATCTAGACCTAAGTGTTCTTATTGTCATAAACTTGGACACACTCGTGAAGTGTGCTATTCTTTACATGGTCGACCACCCAAAAATGCTTATGTTGCTCGGACCGAGACTACAGGTAACCAGAGATTTTCTTTATCTAAAGGGGAATATAATGAGTTCCTTCAGTACCAAGCAATTAAGCAGACATCTCCACAAGTAGCCTCTGTTGCTGGTAATTCTTTTGCTTATGTTTCCTAGTCTAGTATTCTTGGACCATGGGTCATGGAATCAGGCGCTTCTAATCATATCTCTGGTAATAAATCACTTTTGTCAAATATTGTGCATTCACAGTCTCTTCCCACTGCTATTTTAGCCAATGGATTTCAAACTAAAGCAAAAGCAGTTGGACAAGCTAATCCCCTATCTTCTGTCACTCTGGATTCTGTTCTTTGTGTCCATGGTTGTCCCTTTAGTCTTACATCTGTTAGTCGCTTGACTCATTCCCTCCATTGTGGTATATACTTTATTGATGATTCTTTTATTATGCGCGACCGCAGTACGGGACAGACGATTGGCACAAGGCGTGAATCAGAAGGTCTTTACTACCTTAACTCACTCAAACCCTCCAAGGCATGTCTACTTACAGATCCTCCAGACCTAATTCACGGACGTTTAGGACATCCCAGTTTATCCAAGCTTCCGAAGATGGTCCCTAGTTTGTCTAGTTTATCTACATTAGATTATGAGCCGTGTCAACTTGGGAAACATACCCGAGCCTCTTTTCCTCGTAGTGTTGAGAGTCATGCAGAGTCTATTTTTTCTTTAGTTCATTATGATATATGGGGTCCTAGTAGAGTCAGTTCAACCTTAGGATTTCGTTATTTTGTTAGTTTCATTGATGATTATTCAAGATATACTTGGATTTTCTTAATGAAAGATCATTCTGAGTTGTTTTCTATATTGCAGAATTTTCGTGCTGAAATCAAAAATCAATTTGGTGTTTCTATTCGCACTTTTCGCAGTAATAATGTCTTAGAATATTTATCCTCTCAGTTTCAGCAGTTTATGACTTCTCAAAGAATTATTTATCATACCTCTTGTCCGTATACCCCTCAGCAAAATGGGGTTGCAGAGAGAAAGAATAGGCACCTCATTGAGACTGTTCGCACACTTCTCATTGAATCTTATGTTCCGTTGCGTTTTTGGGGCGAGGCAATTCTTACATCTTATTATTTGATTAATCGGATGCCTTCATCTCCCATCCAGAACCGTATTCAATATTGTTTCCCCAGTCACCCTTATACTGTCTTCCTCCTCATGTTTTTGGGAGCACATGTTTCGTTCATAACTTAGCCCCTGGGAAAGTTAAGTTAGTTTCTCGTGCTCTCAAATGTGTCTTCCTTGGTTATTCTCGTATTCATAAGGGATATCGTTGTTATTCACCTGATCTTCGTAGATACCTTATCTCAGATGACGTCACATTTTTGATTCTAAACCTTTCTTTACCTCTTTTGACCACCTTGATATATCTGAGGTCTTACCTATACCGACCTTTGAGGAGTTTACTATATCTCCTCATTTACCTTCCGCCACAAAAGTCTTACCCATTCCAACCGTTGAAGAGTTTAGTGTTTCTCCTCCTAGATCCCCAGCCACATGAACACCACTCTTGACTTATAATCGTCGTCCGCATCCAGCATCAGACCAGTTGATTCACGTCCTGCAGCTAACCCTGCTCCTACTGCGGACTTGTCTCTTCCTAGTACACCGATTTCACTTCGCAAAGGTATACAGACCACACTTAATCTTAATCCCTATTATGTTGGTTTAAGTTATCATCGTCTGTCATCACCCCATTATGCTTTTATACCTTCTTTGTCCTCTGTTTTCATCTCTAAGTCTACATGTGAAGCATTGTCTCATCCAGGATGGCGACATGCTATGATTGATGAGATGTCTGCTTTACATACGAGTGGTACTTGGGAGCTCGTTCCTCTTCCTTCAGGTAAATCTTTCGTTGGTTGTCGTTGGGTGTATGCAGTCAAAGTTGGTCTGTATGGCAAGGTTGATCGACTTAAGGCCCGTTATGTTGCCAAGGGATATACTCAGATATTTGAGCTCGATAACAGTGATACCTTCTCTGCCGTGGCTAAGATAGCATCAGTCTGCCTTTTTCTATCCATGGATGTTGTCCGCCATTGGCCTCTCTATCAGCTGGACATTAAGAATGCTTTTCTACATGGTGACCTTGAGGATGAAGTTTATAGACGACTGGTTGGTAAATTAAATTATCTCACAGTGACTAGACCTGACATTTCCTTTCCTGTGAGCGTTGTAAGTTAGTTTATGGATTCTCCCTGTGATAGTCATTGGGATGCAGTTGTCCGCATTCTTCAGTATATAAAATCGGCTCTAGGCAAAGGGTTATTGTTTGAGGATCGAGGCCATGAGCAGATCGTTGGATACTCAAATATTGATTGGGCAGGATCACCTTCTGATAGACGTTCTACGTCTGGATATTGTGTTTTAGTAGGAGGCAATTTGGTGTCTTAGAAGAGCAAGAAACAGAATATAGTTGCTCGATCTAGTGCAGAAGCAGAATATCGAGCAATGGCTATGGTAACATATGGGCTAATTTGGATCAAACAATTGCTCAAGGATTTGAAATTTGGTGAAATCAGTCAGATGAAACTTGTGTGCGATAACCAAGCTGCCCTTCATATTGCATCAAATCTGGTGTTCCATGAGAGGACTAAACACATTGAGATTGACTGTCACTTCGTCAGAGAAAATATACTCTCAGGAGATATTGCTACAAAATTTGTGAAGTCGAATGATCAGCTTGCTGATATTCTCACCAAGTCTCTCACTCGTATTAGTTATATATGTAACAAACTCGGTACATATGATTTATATGCACCGGCTTGAGGGGGAGTGTTAGCTTGTTAGTTAAATAGTTATATGTAAATAACCCTAATCCCATATATAGTAGGAGTAGAACATGTATTATATATATAACACTCATTGTCTCATTGTCAATAAATCAATAATATAATTTTCGGAGTTATTAATTCTCACGGACTCTAACTTTGTTCCCTCCCAAAAACGATAGCTGCATTCCTAAGAAGTGAACTTCCAGTCATATTAGAAGTAGAAGTTAAAATTAGCTTTTACTATTTTCAATATAATCTTTCCATATTTCATTTATAGAAAATGAAACAAGCGAGGAAAAAAAATCAGAAATAGCCAGATGTACAACTGGTAATTGAAAAATAGCCACAGTTTCAAAAGTAATCGAAATTTAGCCATTTTTTCATGTAAAGGTAAAATCTGAACAAAAATATCCATAAAATTCGAAAACATTCCAGCATAATATGTTTGAGTTCGAAATTTTTATATATGAGATTCCAACATAATGTGCTGGAAGTTTATACGCAGAAGCTCCATAATCCAGCATATTATGCTGAAACTTTCCGTGTGCTGGAGTTCCAACATAATATGCTGAAAATTTATACGCAGGAGCTCCATAATCCAGCATATTATGCTAGAACTTTCCGTGTGCTGGAGTTCCAACATAATATGCTAGAAGTTTATGCAGAAGCTCCATATTCCAGCATGTTATGCTGGAACTTTCCGTGTTTCAGCAAAACAATGGCTATTTTTCAATGACTTTGTAAACGCTGGCTATTTTTCGATTACCACTCCCAAAACTAGTTAGCCCGTGCTATTTTCACAACAAGTGGTGTTAGCATAAGCGAATGTCTTTGACCAAAAATGACAAGAGTATTAAGCTTATTCGATCCATTACAAAACAGGTCAAAAGCAAGCTTTCCACAAAACCTGCTAAAAACATGTAATTGTAATATAATCATGCCCCTCTAATAATCTATATCTGTTAATATTTCCGAAGTTAAATTACACGAAAAATTCATTCACACTGCTAGTGAAAAAAAAGTCCAAACAAGATATAATCTACAAGAAAACAGCATTGCTACAAACTAGGCCATCGCTTCAGGCTCTTCCATCCAATCCTGCTCAGTGCTCACATTCTCCACCAATATAACAAGTAATCAATCAATTTTCACAAATAATGCCAAACACCAACTGCTCCACATATTAAAAGCTTATCTCGCGCCTTTCAGCCCAAAACTTACCACTCACAAACTGGTCAGGTAGTAGAGCAAGCCAGACTGCGGTATCAGCAGCATCCTCTGGAGATATATGGCCGGACCAACCAGTCATCGCTGTCTTCACCCAACCCGGGCAATAGCAATTGATATATATCTTATGACCCTCTGGACGATCTTCGAGTATCCTTGCCATTAGCCTGGTGTAAGCATTTACAGCAAGTTTTGACACTGAGTAGTCAGTGAACACTTGAGGCCATCCCCCTGATTCCCATGTCCCTTCTTTTACTTGTTCCAAAAATTTCTTCACAGTATTATCAATCAGTTCCTCTGATAAAGAGTCCACATCCTCCACTTGCTGTCTCAAGGTAACATTTGTAATTCTCTGGTCGAATCAAGAAAATATAGATGATTTTGAAATATTAAAGAAGAACATGACATTTGCATATAATTAGCGCAACCAGCAATGGTTTATGAAGAACTAATATCATGCTATTTTATTAAGTAGCATCCCAATCAGGACAAAGTATTTGAAGGGGAGCCTTGGAGCCAGAGGCGGACTCAGGATTTTAGAGCGACGGGGGCACAATGTTTTGTTCAATCAGTTCCCTCTAAAGACTTTTAGCGTTCAAGGTGCCAATTGATTTAAATTAACCATTCAAAGTATATATATATATATATATATATATATATATATATATATATATATATATACACATACATACACACACAA